GGGGGGGGGGGGGGGGGGGGGTTCTGCACACTCAATTGCATCGCAGCAAGGCGGTCCCGCGATGGAGTTGGATGTTGAAATTATTGAATCACAGCAGTGGGTCGCCACAAGTTCGTGGGCTTTCATTGCCAATGCTTGCCCATTTGCAGCATCTCTCTCTCTCTCTCTCTCTCTCTCAAGATTCTGTCTAATGGTAATTATTGTTACACATCATCGTCAGTGATAAGCAACTTATAAAGACCGATGATGCGACATAAGTGTTGTGACTAGGATTTAGGTTGGTATCATTTTTATTATTATATTTTTTAGGTGGACCATGTGGATGTTTCACTTCTGTTTCCATTATTTCCTGGGAAACCGAGATACCAAAAATATTCAATACTTTGACAGTGGTTTAGATTGGGATTTGGCTAAGAAAACTGTGTTTAATTTAATAGGAGATTGGCGGGAGTTACGCACTCGTGCACTTTTAAGGCGAGAGGTCTAACTTTGACATGTTTAAAGTGAGAGGTCCTTTAAATACGTAGTTGATAAAAATACTTTTAATGAAAGAGATTATTTAAAAACTTTCATTGTATCTCATTTTTATATTTATTATCACTATTATCAGCATCGACCACCATCAGCGACAATGAATTAAAAAATAGTGAACTAAAAACACTCTTTCCCTCTCTTTCTATGAATGTGATTTGTTATATATTATAGATTTTTTAGTTCACTGTTTTTAGTTTACCTTCTTTTAGTTCACTCTCGTATAGTCCACTGTCTTTAGTTCACTGTTCGTGGTGATGGTTTTCTATGGAAGAAGAACTAGATTTATCCGTGAGAAAGACAATGGCTTTCGTTCAGTTTTGGTTGGACAAAGTACAAGAAACAGGGGAGATAATATTATCATATGAAAAAAGAGAAAAATTAATTTTGATTACATGAAAAAACAAATCAGTTGAATTGGACCTTAGACGTTCAAAAGTATATATCTGAACTTACTGACAAATTAGGTACGGCACATATAGTTTTCAACAATTTTCACTAATTTAAATACTAGTAATACTAAAGTTTTTGGGACTCGAAGAAACCAACTCGAATTAAACCCGATTCTCAACCCAGTTTGAATCTAGAATTCAACCCAACATTACATCCAAAAATTGAACTTGAACTTCAACTTAAATTAAGTAATTCCACTTCAACTCGAGTTCAAAAATTTAAGTAAAAGTAATGAGAATAGATTTTTTTAAATAAATTATTTACAGACAATCGATCAAAATTGAGGAACTACACAAATTCATTGAAGAGCTACATAAACTCATTGAGAATCTTCAACATTAATTTATGTGTTTGTATAACTCTTCAATCTTCAACATTAATCACCATTCCACAAGACGAATGTGTGTGTGTGAGAGAGAGAATCATCTATTTTTGTTTGTTCTGAAATCTGGGTTCGTCGGGACTTTATTAAAACAGTAGGCGTTGGAGTATCATCCTGGAAATGCATAATGCTATACCTTCTTGTGGATACGAAGTCACTGTTGGGTGGCATTTAGTTATAAACCCACTGCGTTTTAGAAACTGTGCCTGAGCTGAGATGAATACAATAACACAGAATGATATCATACTAGAAATAAGAATGTTTGTTTCAGTGGAGGATAAGCAAATCAAATGCCATTATGCACTTTAACAACAATTGATCAATAAATATGCTTTTCCAGAAATTTTATAAGAGTTTCATCACCATTTTCGTCACCCTACTTAACAATTTATTAGGGCAACTCATTACACGATTCTGTTGTCACGACGAGAGTTGAAAAGGATCCGAGGTAAACAATTGACGAGCGTTGAAAATGATCATAAGTAAACAATTTTATCCTATTTATAGGAAAGCAATTTATTTAGCTCAAATTTATATTATTTAGATTACCATAAAATTGTTGAGTGCTACAAAAATATTATTTTTCAGTATCATACTTACTACTCTTGTAATTTAATATGGGTCCAAGGTCGCACATGGGGTCAATGGCCCTATTGGCTTTTAGTTATTAACTCTTACATTGGAGGGTTTATTGATGTGCTACATTTGGCCTGACACACGATCCGACCCAGTAAATTCCCATGGAAAGATGTTGCAAAGAGTTTCATCTTTTATTATGCTCTGTTTGATATAATGAAAAAATAAAAGGATGAAAAATTTGAGGGATAAATAAAACATTATATTTAGTAAGGAAGGAAAATTGGAAGGATAAAAAAGTGGATGAATTAACTTTCCTTCTAATTCATTAAAATTGATCCCTCTAAAATCGAAAGAAACGTTGATGAAAAACTAATTATTTGTGTTGTGTTGTATCTTATTTGTTTATATATATATAAAGTAACTTATAATTTAAATCTCAAAAGATAAATAAAATGATTTTTACTATTTGCGGTTGAGATCGATTTAAATAATTTAATGGCTAATATTAACATCTTAAATTTAATAGTAAAAATAGACCCCTAAGGGTGTGTTTGGAGTGACTTTTTTAAAATACTTTTAAAAATTATTTATCATAAATACTACTTTAAAAAAATAGTGTTGAAAACTGTCCTACCACTATCTCTACCACCACTATCGCCACCAACGCCGCCCTCACCACCGTCACCCCCATCGCCACCGACATAGCCATCACTACCGCTAGCACCACTGCCACCAACGCCATTACCGCCGCCACCAACATCACCATCGCTGTTGCCACCATCATTGTCGCTGCCATCACCATCGCCACCGCTACCATAACCACCACCGTCACAGCCACCCTCACCGCCACCATCACTGCCACCGCTGCCACCACCACCCCACAACCATTGCCACCACCGCTACCATAGTTATTGTCACCCACCACAACCATCATCGTCTCCTACCACCACCACTGTCACGCACCATCTCTCACCCCCCAACTATGAATTGATGATTATATTCTTTTATTTATTTTTTATGTTTGTGATTTGATTTTGGATATGAATATAAACACAGTAATGCTATGCTAACCAAATTTGGAGCTCAAATAACATGACACCAAATAAAAAAGCATAAGTCAGCTGTCATATCATTTAGGTTCAAAATTTGGTCAGTGTAACATTACTGATACAAATATGTTTATTGGTTACCATTTTTTATTACTTTGTTCTTTCATGCACATACAATAACTAGTATACATATATTATGTATACATTAATTTCATATAAAAATATAATGATAAAATATGTATTTATATATATATTTTTAAAAATTTTAAAAATAAATTTAAAAACAAAAAAACAAAAAATAAAAATTTTAAATTAAAAAAAATATTTTTTTTTCATCTTAACTAGGGGTGAAATTTTTTGACTTAACACGATAACACAACTCGAGCTTGACACGAATTTTATGACACGAACTTAATTAAAACTCGACTCAAACTTGAAAATGATCTGAGGCGCGAAAAAGAAATATAAAAGGCTCATATTCAATTTAACTCATCAAACTCAAAATTGACACCATTAACCCATTTATTTAAAAATGAACACTTTCTTTATTTTATCGTTTGTATGGTAACACAAAATTAACTTGAAACTACCATGTTTAAATAGTATTATAGACATAAAATATTAATTATTTGTAACTATTTATTAAGCACTGACATAATTATTATATAAACAAATATTTTTATTAATTATTATTATTATATTTATTTAAGTTAATTTTTAGTTTGTAGAAAAAATATTAACATGGATTCAATTAAGAGAAAATAGAATATTAGCGTTAAATTTTTTATTCAAAGTTTATGTAGGTTAATACGAACACGACATGAAAATAACAGATTAACTCGCAACTTGACATAACACAATTAGTTAAATGAGTTGAGTTATGTTTAACTAATGTTTGACACAAACTTGTAATGATTCATCACAAATCTGACACAACGAGATTTGATTGTCACCTCTAATCTTAGCCAACAAAAAAAAAAATTAATTATTTTTATTTTTCATCAATTCTACCAAACACAAAAGAAGAAAAATATATTATTCTTACTTTTCTTCAAAGATAGAAAATTCATTCTTCTTACTTTTCATCATTCTTACCAAACAGAGCATTAATATCATTGGGACCTTGTTTGGACGAGCATGGGGCCTAATATAGTAAAGAAAATTCTACATAGAGTTAAAATATTGATTTGATCAATTATAATCATTGAATAGATTGTAAATATCAGTATTTTTATCTCTATACGATTATCCATGTTAAAAGCGAAATAAGCAATTTAAGAGGGTTAAAATAGAGTTGGGTAGTTATTTTAAAAAAATGAAGAGTAATATTGACACTTTATGAGTAGAGGTGGATGAGTGGAGTTTAAGAGAGTTACTGGGAAAACATAAAGGGTATTAACCACTGAATGAGGTGGTCCAGTGTAATACCAGTTGAACTTTTCATCTTGACGATAAAAATTTGAATCTTGAAGTTCATATTGAGACTCGATAGTTGATTGTTATCTTAGTCTAACTACGTTTGTTTCTAAAAGGTGTAACAAGTAGGGATAGGAGCCTCATAATCCCAATAGTTATAACTTATCGAAATGGTTGCTGAAAACTCTCTTTTACCCCACCTTTTTTTTATGAGCGCAATAAAAAGGGTATTAAACTCCCTTCTCTTCCTTTATTAATAGTATAACTATTTAAAACAAATCCACTTTCTTTTTCTCTTTTCATTTTGCATTCCTAAAATTTATCATTTGCAACGTAAAATATTTCTAAATTGAATTTATTTCTATGAAAGTAGACAAATATGAGAAATAATAAGTGTTTCTCTAATATTATCAACTTAAAAAATAAATAAATTCATTCAACAGTCAAAATGATGCCTTCTTAATAAAATTTATCATCCTAATTAATAATCAATAATTATATCATTTTACACTTGAAGCATATTCGAGTAATTGAAGAGAGTGTATGCCTGAGTGAGACAAAATCATTTCATTTATGCTTCGTAATATTTATTAGAGCAAATGTTATTGAGACTTAATTTGTTGACCTAACTCACTATGACCTTTGGATTAACTGTAGAACCCATCAAACATTGGAACTTGGTGTTGATCTAACGGTTCTACTGAAACCACATCATTATGTCAATAAATTAGATCAAATTTTGAAGTCCAAATAGTATTACTTTATTTATTAACCTTTCATGTTAATTAAATCGTTATGATTATCGTTACTGTTCTCATTTTGGTATTATTGAAAACCCTGACGGTGGTTAGGGGTGCAACTCGGGCGGGTTGGACAATCAACTCTAGTCTAACTTTAGGTATATAATCTTCAATCCTAACCTTACCTCAGGTTGGGGAACTCAACTCGAGCACTGCCCGAGTTTAATTCAGGCGGGCTTGGGTTAAATTTGGGTTGATGATTTTGGGCTGATTTCGGGTTACTTTACGGGTTCAATTCGGGTAAAGCCCAAAATAGGCTTGTTGTTCTAAACGTAATACATATATTACATACTATTCACCTAAATTAACAACCAATAAATTCAACCAATTTTTTAACTATAGAGACTGAGAGAACGATAAAACAAAAATAAAAAAAGCAGTGCTAATGCTTTATATATATATATATATATATATATATATATATAT